TATTATCATATTACTCAATGGAATAATAGATTGATTAATTAATTAATTCCACAAAGAAGCCATTGCACATATGAGAGTGTCTGCTTTGCGTGCGCTGCTACAATTTCATGCTTTCGTGGGTAGCTATTTGAGCTAACTCAAATCAACTGACTTCTAACTGTTTAAGGTAATTTTGATGGACACTTCAGGTGACTGTGTTAAACACTTATACTGCACAATTTATAACTGCAGTTATACTGCTGCAAGAACATTAGTGCTGTTTTAAACTATATTTGTTTATAATTTCTTTACAACTTTGGCCAAAATAGAGATATAAAAAATATGCCAACAAAAAGTTGTTCAGTCTGCAGGAAACACATGTAACTGCATGTACAGTGACTGGTGGCGCTGCCTTGGACTTCTATGACTTTTAAGATTTTCAGTATCAAAGTGAAGCCAGTGATGAATCAGTACATCCAATGTTACACAGTAAAAATAACAGATGTAGTTAAACTGGCAAACTTTGTTTTTAAAGTGACCAAATCTTTAAGCCAGTAAGTTACTGATGTGTATCACAGTTCAACTCTTTCAATGTGATTTTTAATTTATTCATATAAAGATAAACTGTACATAGGCAAATGTTTCACTATGAACTCCAATAAAAGCTCTAATCCTATTTAGCAGAGTTAGACTAACATGAGGGTAACATGATGGTATAGTGGTTAGCACTGTTAAGCTATAGCAAAAAGGTCCTGGGGTTGAATCTACCATCTGAGCTTTGAGCTTTCTGTGTGGAGTTTGCATGTTCTCGCTGTGTCTGCGTGGGTTCTCTCCAGGTACTACGGCTTCCTCCCACAGTCAAAAGACATGCATTTACTGGAGTCACCAAGAATAATTGGTGATTCTAAATTGCCCATAGGTGTGAATATGGGTGTGAATGGCTGTCTGTCTCTCTGTAGCACCACAACAGGCTGGCGACCTGACCAGGGTGTACCTTCACACTGACCATATGGTAGCTGCGATAGGTTCCAGCCTCCTAGCATAAGAACATAAGAATGAATGGATTAATATAAAATATAAATCAGTTAATAAATTATTGTATAATTTAGCTACAGTAAATTAGTTCCAGCTGTGAAAACGCTCTGCGTCCACACTACCGTTTTAAGTAGTTTTCACAGAGTTGCGCGTCCACATAAAAAAAAACAACTGAGAAACAACTGCTGTATAATGCACTCCGCTATCTTTGTTTAATTGGTCACATGACTACATCACATGACTAAAATGTGTCATCGTTTTAGAAAGTCTGCATTTTCGAGTGTCCACACTGTGACGGGACAGCTCCGTTTTGAAATATATAAGTTTTCGAGAGCATTTTCAAAACACTGCGTTTTTCCTTGGGGAAAACGCTGTACACATACACAAATTCTTTTTACACATACAAAACTGATTTACAAGTACAAAATATTTATGACCACATTTTGAGCCCATACCATTCTCCTTCGGGTATGTTGTAATCTGTGTTTCCAAGCCTGAAAAGAAAATCTTAGCTCAAAATTGGCAAATCTTAGAAAATCCCTACTCTTTTGGCACAAAGTCTGTGCAGCAAAATTGAGTATTTCTTTCAGTATGTGTAAGGCAGGCCACTCGTTCTGACGCTTCAGCATTCTTTACCACCTCTTTTACTGCTCTCCAAGGTGGTTCTCTGGTGCTCAGGTCTTTAAAAGGAAGTGCTGGGCTGCTGATCTTTGGATTTTGGATATGTCATCATCTACAGTATCATTAAAAGATTTTGAGAATATAGAGAACTCTCGTCAACTCCCATCAATATAGGACGCTTATGATTTTTTGTCATTGAATACTTCAGCAACACAATGGTAAACCAAATACTGCAGGTATAACAATACAATGGGTTTTTAGAAAATACATTTTTGTTCCTGAATTGTCCAGTCCAAGCCTTTCACCAGTTGAAAGCATTTGGCACATCATGAAATGAAAAATACAACAAAGACAACCCAGGACTGTTCAGCAGCTAGAATTCTATTAGCTTTCCTCTCCAAAACGTTCAACAACTGGTTTTAGTTCCCAGACATTTAAGACGACATGCTGCACAGTGGTAAATGTGTGGGGTTTTTTTACAGCTTAACCAGGACAAAACTGAAGTTTTAATCATTGGTCCTGAGGCTTAGAGAGAGAAACTCTTGTCTAAATTACAGGCATTTTCCTTATGCCTGTAAGTGAAAAACCTGGGTGTTATTTTTGACTCTGAGCTTGGTTTTATCCCACATATTAAACATGTTACCAAAATTGGATTTTATCATCTAAAAAATATCTAAAAAATATAGCCAGAGTCAGCCCTATTCTCTCTCAGGCCGGTGTAATGCGGGCCCACATTACACCGGTTTTAGAATTGCTGCATTGGCTCCCTGTGTGTTTCAGGATCAGGATTGGTTTTTAAATGTCTTAATGGTCTTGGGCCTTCTTATCTCTCAGATTTGCTTTTACCATATGAACCCTCGCGGACCTTGAGGTCCTCAGGCACTGGCCTTTTGATTAATTTTTTTTATTAATTTAGATTTTACCTAATATTTATTGATTTTATTCTTATTCATTTTTTATCTTCTTACTCTATTTATATTTATATTGTATCCCATTCTTATTTTATTTATTTATTTATTTATTTTTATTCTGTATATACTCTTATTAGGTCATATCTCCAGTGTTTCCTCGGAGGGGGCTCTCTGCACCGGGGCTGTGATCGACCGTGGCTGCTGGGGCTCTGTGGGTCCTCTCAGCCTGGCTGGGGGGCTTCCCTCCTGCTGTGTGCCCAGCCTGGAGGCTGCGGTCTGTGACCAGCTCCCGGTGCAGACGGCTCCCCGTGATAGTGTTTCCTCTACCTGGCTCATGTGTGCCCAGCCCAATTTTACTTTTTAAGTGTGTGTGTGTGTGTGTTGTGTGTGTGTGGTGGGTGGGTGTGTGGTGTGTGTGCGCCGCGCGTTGGGGGGGGGTTATGTATCCATGATCGTTTATGTTAATGAGAGTGTGGGGAGTGAGTTGGAGGGCAGGGTGGGGTGTGCTGCTTTTAACCATGTAAAGCACTTTGTGCTACATCTTTGTATGAAAAGGGCTTTATAAATAAAGATTGATTGACTGATTGATTGATTGATTGATTGATTGATTGATTGATTGATTGATGGATCTGCTGTTCTTATTTATATTGATATTAATGTTCTTAACTGTATTATTTTATTGTTTTTTTTGTAAAGCACTTTGGTATGCCTAAGGCTTTTAATGTGCTCTATAAATAAAGGTTGTTGTTGTTGTTGTTGATTTTGAGATGTGCTTTTTTTCTTGAAATGGTAAAAAAAAATTTATTTTAAACATTTTTCTGTGTTGTTGAAGTTTATTACATTTACAAATCATTGTATTTTGTTTTATTTGCATTTTACCCAGTGTCCCAACTTTTTTTTGGGGGGGGGGATTTGGTTTGAATTGGAAACCCCTCTAAATGCTGAGTTATAAATTGTGTTTAGAGAATAGAAGTGTTTTAGACTTTCCTTTGCATCACAACAGTCTGTTTTTATTTTACATTTGCTGGAGTGGCTAGTCCTCGACAAATCCAGAATCTGCACCAAATCTGGATTAGTTTCCTTACAGCCAAATGATTGACTTTTAAATAAGTAGAAGATCATTTCATTTCAATTCCGTCTTATTTGTACAGCACCAAATCAGAAAAACAGTGGCCTCAAAGTGCTTTAAAACTCTTATTTTGTTTTTAAATCCCATCCTTTAGTGCCCTTAGAAACCTCATTAGATCTGTTAAGATGCCGCTACAAACTGCGCACACATATAGAGACACCTGACTCTTGATGTCAGAGGTCTGAATAAGTCAAACAGGTTTTAATATTTGGTAGCTAATCTGGAACCACTGGATGTAACTGACTGGATCTGAAAATATAATAAATGTGGAGGTGTATTTACTTTTTCGCCATTCTAGTGTGTTGCATTGTTAAATATTCATAATAATTTTAGTTCTGATTTGGTCTTAACCAATTTCTGAGAATAGTACTTTTAGCCATTAGCCTAGTTATCACCCTAGCTATCTCTAGCTTCTGAAATCTTGAGTTTCCTCATCAGTTAGTTTCAAACCTTTTTGGGCCAATATTCAGTGCTAAGCACACAATATACAATGTGTTTGCTTTATTTTTCAGATAGAAAATAAGGTTAAACTGGATTTGAATATTTTTAGACTGTTTTTGATCATTCTTTCATTTTAAAATTGCTAATTTGATCATTTGTCCCAGTATATGTAATACATTTCCATGTCAATGCATAGATGATGTGTATATGATTGTTTTTGTGCCCTACAACTTATCTCTTTTTGACCATAACCTCCTCTACATCTTGTGTTTGTTTGTTTATTTTTCTTCTGGTTTGAAAAACCCTGTCCACAACAAAGTCCATTTCCAACATAAAGTCAGAGGAGGACACAGTTCTATCCTCAACTTATCTCACTGCCTGCTGCCCAGTTATGCTTCATCTAAAACCCAACACAAGTCCCGCCACTGTCACAAAAACTCCAGCTCTGAAAGATTAGGCTCACTGTCCATCTCGAGGTCCCACATACCCTCTTCACCTTCTTCCTTTTCTCCCCTATCCTCCTCTCCTTCCTCTTCATCTCCCACTTCAACAGCTCACACTCCATATCACCTAGCTCTAGACAGCTCTTCCACACGTCAGCGCCGTTTCCTCAACACAGCAGAGATTCTCAACCAGTTGGGCCTGCTGGCTATTACACTACGCACCAAGGAGCTGCTAAAGCAGAATGTTGCTATAGAGAGAGAAATTGCTCAGTTACATCAGCACACCCATCTCTTATCCCAGGCCAGCCAAAAACAGTGGCACTGAAGTCTCACATAGCCTTGACAAACTCTTCCAAATTATGAGAGAATCAGGCCTACCTGAACTTGGTGCTTTTGTAACCAAAACATCTACTCACCAAAGAATGAGTGAAGCAATATGGATAACAGCAGAGGACAATTTATTTAGGGTCTGATGGCAATTTACCATCGGTGTCCAGCACTTTAAAGGATTGATGGACTGGAGCACATCTGTCCTTAACATACCCTCTTAAACATCAGCTTGACACTGATACATCAAAGGAAACTTAACAAACTCTAAGGGCAAATGTTTCAACCTGAACAACTTAAAACTTCTCTGAGATACAATGTAAACAAAGACAAGAAGAAGAAAAAAAATATTTCCATCAATAGCCACTTCTCCTAAACAGGAGACAAGTGAATATATTATGTAAATAGTCTTTTTTTTTCTTCAGTCCTGGGGTTGTAACACCACAACCTCCTCAGTCCGTAATCAGAGAGTGTCTATTTGACAATAACCAAAATGTCTTTGGATAGTCTTTGTGAATGCAAAAACAAAACAAAACAAAAACAAACAAACAATGGTGTTAGCTGGCCAGCAAAATAAAGAGAGTGTATGGCGCTGAGTGCGGGCGTGTGTGTGAGTACTTCGGTCCAAAAAATCGAGGTCCGGATGGATGAATGGATGGCAGCCGCCGGTCCTTTAATGGCACCAGCGAGACAGCACGGTAGTAAGGCAGCACAGCAGTAAGGCAACACAGCAGCGAGGCGTCTGGCAGGAGAACGAACAATAGTCTTTTTTAAGGCTACTGCAGAAGGAGATATTCCCCGCTAGCTCACCCAAGCTTGCTCTCTGGCACAGCTACAAGCCACGTGAGCTCGTAACCCTTCCCGCTAGGATGTACTACCACAGTCGACTGTCGTAAAGCAGCCGCAAACCAATAGCAATAAAAAAAACTCAAAATCATTGAAGAACATTTTATAACTGAACACCCAATATAGATATATACATAAATACTGAATATCACACAATATCAGATAACCAAATTAACACTGGGTTACACTTTCAGATGATGAAAGTCTCAGCAGCAGCCACCAACAGAGGAAAACTATAAGACTGCAAGACTACAAAGAGGATAACAACACAGAAACCTCTGAAATGCAAAGTAGCCTACCACAGGTTGTGTCTATACACAACATGAATGATGGAACATCACCGCCCTCTCCATTGTTTGCTCCTTCACCGGACACAAAAGAAGCAGACAATGCTTACAGTTCAGAGCTCATGTCCCTGTCTCTCTTATTCTAGATCTGTTCATAAACAAGGACACAGTGAGTCAGTCATGGAAAAGGACTTAAGTGATTTTACTGTTTTTCCAGAAACATCAACACATAGCAACTATCTCCTCTAGAATCTTGGTGAAGAGGAGGATGTGTTATACAAAAATGTGCAACCTAGCAATACAAGAAAGCATTTGACTGAATTGAAAACTAATGAAAAATGGCCATAGAAAGGGTGATTTTTACTGATATATATACACAATTTAATGTTCAACACGATTTAAATATTTTACTACATTTTGTCTGGGATTTGCTCATTCGAGGTGAACATTTTTCATCAATAGTTTTACTTTATGTGCACAGGACTTATATGTTCAGTCAGGCAACTACAGCACGTTAAAAAACAAACAGAAGCACATTTGTGTCAGGGTTTCTGGGTCGTTGACCCAGTATTTTCAGTTCATGTTCACTGTTTATCCTCTGTACGTTCCACTTCCTGTTTTGTGTTACGTTACTCTGTGTGCATTATGTTCTAGTTCTTATTCCATGCATCGTTAGTTCAATTGTGTTCAGCTGCTCACTCACCTGTCACCTATCAGTCATTGTTCAGCCAGTGTATTTAAGTCCTCAGTTCTCTCTTGGTCGGCGTCGCGTCATTAACGTTGTCAATGCTGTCTATGCCCCATGTTTGCCTCCCAAGTTCAGATCAGTCAGCCGTTCATTCAGTTATTCATTCAGTCAGTCAGTCAGCCATCTCCTGTTTTCGTCATTCGTCCCTCACAATAAACACCCTGCATCTTCACCGTGAGTCCTGCGTTTGAGTCCTTTTCTCCACATCCACTCAGCAACCCCTGACAATTTGCTGTCATGACTCGGGTCTCTTGTGGAGAATTTCAGCAACTGAAGAGTGACAGCGGTCTTTTGCTTTGTTACTTCAGAAAACAATACTTCCTGTCATTTTTTCAGTATTGTAAATTGTTTGTAATAAAAAGCTTCAATGTACAGTGATACAAAACGCTTGAGTCTTGTTGAGAAATCAATTTTACCCTGGTTCTTTTATTCCCCGGGCATCCAGTAGTTATTTCACAAAACCTTTATTCATCTTTATTCATCTTCATTTAAGCATGCATCTTCTAGAAGGGGAGATGTCCCTCTGCAGATCTTCCACCTCTTTGTTAGTTACAGCCAGCATTAAAGAAGTGACCCCATCATAAAACCCCCATGGTGTGTCTGTGTGTGTATGCACAAGCACATGAGTGCCTGTGTGCGCGCGTACCCGTGTGTCTATGTGAGTGCACGTGAGTGACTGTGTGCGCGTACCTGTGTGTATGTGTGTGTATGTACGTGAGTGAGTGTGCGTGTGGGTGTGTCGTAACAGTTAAAGCACTGTGTGTCTCTGTATACGTGACTGTTTATTTATGATCTCAGTAATCAATAACCGTCTTCAAAACAGACTGAATCATTTAAGCAGCTTGAATCAATTTGATGGATGAATAACAGGTATGCTTAGAAACAATATGACATTAAGTGAAGTCAGATGGTAACAAAGAGAGGGAAGGTAGTCATAACTGAGGGGATCGAACTACCAGAAGGCAACATTGCAGACATAGAGGACAGCTACACCTGGGGACACCACAGGTAAAATGGAACCATGAAGAGGTCGCTAGAAAAGCTGCAACCACCAAGTACCTGCAGAGGGTCAGGCAAGTCCCGAGAAGTCAGCTGAACGGTAAGAACAAGATCTGGGGTATCAACACGCCCTGCCCATGATCAGGTACCCTGCTGGAATAAGTGGGCCAAAGGAGGAGATAGAAGCCACTGACATCAAGACAAGGAAGCTCCTGACCATGCATTGAGGGTTTCACCCCAAGTCCAGCACCCTGAGGCTGTGCACAAAGTGGAAGGAAGGAGGCCAGGGACTGGTGAGTGTCAGCACCACAGTCCAGGATGAGACAACAAACATCCACAAATACATCAGTAAGATGGCTCCAACCGGTGTGGGCTAAAAAAAACTTTTTATTAAACATTTAAAGAGGACATGAACCACTAAACATATAGAGGCTAATTTACACCATTGAGCCCTGGTCTCAAAAACCATAGATGTAACACTGTCTGTGAAGCTGATTTAACCAGTAAGTGGCTGATGTAGCAGTAAGTGGCTCTACGTTGTTTGACTAGCTTTAGTCAAACAGGAAAATCTGCCTGTTAACCATAATGTTTGAGTTTGTAAAGCGCTTTACAAATGAGCACAGTGAACACTGTAAGTGTGAGAGGCTGGGTACGCCCTGGACAAGTCACTCATATGTTGCAGGGCCAACACAGACCCTACATTTGGATTTTAACCCAGGACCTTTTGCTGTGAGATAACCGTGCCTGATTTAACGCTTTGCACAGAGCAAATATCTTAGTTACACCACTTAAAGTTGACTGTGGAATATCTAAGAGATGTGAAATTTTGCAAACTGACTTCTTGCAAAGGCAGCATCCCATTACAGTACCATGCTCAAATTTAGTGAGATTGCCTGGGTAGTTACTTGATTTTACATAAATGTAGCAAAGGAACTAAAACACCTGCATTCAAAGATTAAGAGCTGTGGCCTGTAGGCCTTTAGCCATACAGTGTAAACTTACTAAGACCTCCACAGTTTTTTGAAACTGTTATTTTTGCTGTAGACAAGGGACAAGAGACAAATGAGACAAGAAACTGAATTTAGCTTGGATTTAACTCTTCTATATTTATATATTTTATAAGAAGCAGAAAGCAGTTGTAGAAGAATCTTTTAAAAATAAGTTAACGTTTTTTTGTGTAGCAACTTCTTGATTTTTCTTTTCTTACATTTGGCAGTCATGAGCTGGGGAAAATTTTATCAGACTTTTTAAGCGAACACTGAGTGCTCAGAAAATATCTAGTCACAAACAAGCTCCTCTTCACATTTAAAACCAACCCACTTAGTCCATTCACTGCTGTCATCTAAAATCGTTGACTGTTTCAACTCATCATCCTTCTGCCTACAGATAAAATCCACATATTCCGACATAGATGGTCAACTAAGTAGCAATATCCCATCTATCCATTTTCTAACTGCTTATCCAACTTGAGGTCACAAGACTTGAGCTTGCTCACAGCTGTATCAGGGTACAAACTGGTACAACCAGCTCACCAGAAGATTGCAATGTCAGTACAGAGAGACAGCTAAGCATGTGACATCCACGCCTACAGTGCATGTAGGGATCAAATCACCATGTAAGCTAGCAAGCCCATCTTTGAATAGTCGGAGGAAGCTGAAGTAACTCAAAAGAAACTCACACAGCCACTGGGAAAGCAGAAAAACACTACACAGAATGGTCCCAGTTGACTTAAGGCAGTCAACTGGTACGCGGGAAGTCTCCCAAAAAAAATGTAAGATTAAATAATATACCATGTTCTGATTGAGGGATTTCTGAAAAATGGATTTCTGAAGGGATTTCTGAAAAAATCTGCAATCACTTCTGACATAAATGAAGACAGAAAACTAAACAGCAGTGACGTTTGTAGGGTTACTGAAGTTGGGCTAGCTGGTATACAATGATGTGCTACATCAGACCTTCCCAAAGTGTGGGGCCTGCCCGCTAGGGGGGGCACAGAGCTATTGCAGGGGGTGCGCGGCATGAAAAGGGAAAAAATACCAAAAACAACGCTTGGACACTGCTAGGACGGGGCGCCTACACAAACGCAAAGCAGGAGATGAAGCATAGCTGAATATGTTTCCAAACCAACTTCATTCTAAGCCAAAGACTAGAAAATATGGTGAAGCATATTCCTGGCATACAGCCACTTCCATATACAGTGGGGCAAAAAAGTATTTAGTCAGCCACCGATTGTGCAAGTTCCCCCACTTAAAATGATGACAGAGGTCAGTAATTTGCACCAGAGGTACACTTCAACTGTGAGAGACAGAATGTGAAAAAAAAATCCATGAATTCACATGGTAGGATTTGTAAAGAATTTATTCGTAAATCAGGGTGGAAAATAAGTATTTGGTCACCTCAAACAAGGAAAATCTCTGGCTCTCACAGACCTGTAACGTCTTCTGTAAGAAGCTTTTCTGTCCCCCACTCGTTACCTGTATGAATGGCACCTGTTTGAACTCATCATCTGTATAAAAGACACCTGTCCACAGCCTCAAACAGTCAGACTCCAAACTCCGCCATGGCCAAGACCAAAGAGCTTTGGAAGGACACCAGGAAAAGTATTGTAGACCTGCACCAGACTGGGAAGAGTGAATCTACAATAGGCAAGCAGCTTGGTGTGAAAAAATCAACTGTGGGAGCAATCATCAGAAAATGGAAGACATACAAGACCACTGATAATCTCCCTCGATCTGGGGCTCCACGCAAGATCTCATCCCGTGGGGTCAAAATGATCATGAGAACGGTGAGCAAAGATCCCAGAACCACACGGGGGGGACCTGGTGAATGACCTGCAGAGAGCTGGGACCAAAGTAACAAAGGTCACCATCAGTAACACACTACAACGGCAGGGAATCAAATCCCGCAGTGCCAGACGTGTTCCGCTGCTGAAGCCAGTGCATGTCCAGGCCCGTCTGAAGTTTGCCAGAGAGCACATGGATGATACAGCAGAGGATTGGGAGAATGTCATGTGGTCAGATGAAACCAAAGTAGAACTTTTTGGTATAAACTCAACTCGTCGTGTTTGGAGGAAGAAGAATACTGAGTTGCATCCCAAGAACACCATACCTACTGTGAAGCATGGGGGTGGAAACATCATGCTATGGGGCTGTTTTTCTGCCAAGGGGACAGGACGACTGATCCGTGTTAAGGACAGAATGAATGGGGCCATGTATCGTGAGATTTTGAGCCAAAACCTCCTTCCATCAGTGAGAACTTTGAAGATGAAACGAGGCTGGGTCTTCCAACATGACAATGATCCAAAACACACCGCCCGGGCAACAAAGGAGTGGCTCCGTAAGAAGCATTTGAAAGTCCTGGAGTGGCCTAGCCAGTCTCCAGACCTCAACCCCATAGAAAATCTGTGGCGGGAGTTGAAAGTCCGTGTTGCTCGGCGACAGCCCCAAAACATCACTGCTCTCGAGAAGATCTGCA